ATGAAACGCAAGACAACAACCCACCAATCCCACCCCAGGGGAGGACATCCATCACACAGTAATCTCGTGCGTGGGAAATTAACGTCTCCTACCCCTAACCCTGCAGGAGACGGGACCTCCATTTATTCGTCCCTATCCGAGAAGACTAGAATATCTAAACCATTTCTTGATGTTATAGAAAGGCAGCATATTCTTCTCAAATTATTTTAAGACTTTGAGTGTTGGTCCGGCCGGGGCTCGAACCCTCGACCTCCCGCACATCACTCCAGCGCTCTATCCATTGAGCTAACCGGGAGGCGGTTAATGCTGCTGGTTGTGGGCACTACGACTACGTTTGTCGAGAAAATTATCTCTCGGAGCCAGAAGAAAAGATAGGCGAAGAAATAAAGAAGAAAGAAAAACGAACTAAGGTGTTTTGCTCCTGTGGAGTCGGCAGGAAAGGTCAAGGGTCAGTACCCCCTCACATTACCCTATGTGTTAATTATTATTTATTTCAGAACCCGGTATCTGAGAGAATACCTGAACTTTCGGACCTCAAGCACGGCCTAGCGACAATTTGAAGATTCCATGGCCCGGTAAATATTGTGTTCGAGTAACAATGTGTTCAAAAAGTGTGGTTTAATAAAAAATTTTGAGTTAAATCGCTGGTTTTTATAATTTTCAAGAAAAAGCTACGCAATTTTCTGGACTTGAAGTCCAGTAAACAACGATCTTAGCATGATGAATTTTACCGCGTGGGCTTTGTACACGCTAGAAATTCGTTCGTTTTTCGCTTATAACAGCAAATCAAGAGCTGTTTTGAATAAAACTGTCGTCCCGAAATATTTCTTGTGATTCTTGGTCATTTTCGTCTTGCTTCCTACTGATTCCATGAAACTTGAGATCTCTCCGCTCACGGACAAATTTGCATACTCCTTTTGAAGTATGATCCGAATGCCTATTTGCCCAAGATACGAAAATATTTAGCGATTTTTATCTTTCATCTTCATTTTTGAGTAAAAACTCAATAAGTACCTATCGCTAAACTTCCCTTCTTTGTTTTTTTTTTTTCGGACACAATAATCATTTTCCTGCATAGATACACATTCAAGAATAGAAGCATTGACGCCATAAATAAAATATGCGCTGCAAGAGACAAAAGTCAGTATTCGAAGATTGGGCAAAATTTAATTCACGGATGATAAACGTATAGTTTTAAACTCTTTTAAGATTATCATTGGCTTCTTTTTCACCCCACCACCACTTTTGGCAACAAAGGTCGCCATTCCGGTTGTTTATTACTCGCCAAAAACTATCAAATGCACTCAAAAGCCCAAATTCCAAAAAAGTTTACAAGAATCGAGCGAGCGAATGAGTGCCATTCTTCACATCATATCTACAACTCGCTCTTGCGCATGCGCGCAATTAACGAGTTAAAAACGGAGACACAAACCAACTATAATTGGCCAACGAAATAGAGAGAGAAATAACGTACTAACCGATTGCCACAAGTTAACTAAATCACGTCAGAAGAGATAGATATCAACTCTACCTGAAATTAGTTCGGTCAGCCACGTCTTCCCTTCCAAGACTTGCCTCGATTAACCTTATTGTCGTGCAGGCTTTTGCAACATCATCCTAATTAAGACGCAAAACGTAAAACAACATAAACCTTGAAATTTCTCCTAATAATTGTTCATTGACACTGTTTCTAAATGCTTCAGCTGCACTGATAACAGTTCACTTTAATTGATGAAAAGTCTCGGCATAAGATTGCGCAGTCTTTTTACAAAACAACCATTGGACTCCAAGGTTCAGCACTACCAAAATACGTCTGGAGACCAAAGTAAAGTAACCAAGGTTGCCAGTCAGAACAAAGGAAAATATCAAGGCGATTCTTTGGTACTGCACTGTGCATCCTGTACTGCGTAAGACAATCACATAATCAGGCGAATAATCGGGCGCATTCCGAGAACACCGTTGGTTTTTCAATCAATGGACCAAGCAAAGAGGTGCAATGGTCTTTGGCTCTTAAACAAGCGCAGTGACTCACATTTTTAAAGCATAAATTTGATACACTAATAATCCCCTTTAGATTGGAGAAATTAAAAAAAAATCATCGAAGGGAAAAATGATACAGCCAAAAGCGTTCACGAAACCTGTTACTTGATGATACAAATTATATCCGGCTTAAAAGCAACGAGTCGAGAAACATTTTGGGTCAATGTAGTTTAAAATTTCATAATTTTTCCGCATGTCATATATCAAATTGTTCCCTACGGTAGACACTTTCTACTCCATCGGGTTTTTTAATTGTTACTTTAAAAACTCTTGCTTCCAGCTACAGCAAAATGTACCGTAAACCGATAAAACTAAGCGCGTAATAAGTGCCAGTACAGGCCTTAATGAGGTAAGTTTGGCCAGTCATGTCTTAAACAAGCAATCTTTAAACAAAATTGTTCGATAACTTTTTTTCTCAGTAATCACCTTGAGAACTCTAATAAAACAAGCGGCCACCTTTTCCTAATAAAAGCGAGAGCTTCCAAGTCGTGATTGCTATTAGTTTTTCATCTTTTTACTGAGATGTTGGGTCAGTGAGTAATAAACACTCTCATCTCAGATTTTCATTTAAACTCAACTGAAAATTTCTCGAAATGTCTACTCACATCTGTTTCAGGATAGTATCGTTTGAATATCTCCACAGGGTCTCCTTCAATCAAGCCACCAAAGTTCCTCTTGATAGCATGTTCTAGTTCGGACCAACAAGGTCTATGTTCAGATTTCGCAGCGATCGAGTACACCATCTTGATTAGGCTTACATAAACAGGCAAAAGAAAGCAAATCACTTCGAGAAGCTATAGAATACATCCAGACTTACAAGAAGCAAGATGAAGAAAACATTCTTAAATATCAAACCTATAGAAGTCACGGAGACCGAAAAATTCTTCTTTGCCCCATTTCTTTAAGGTTGCAAAATGCTTCTGTTTCTTGTAAAGTTCTGCATATCCATCAGCCAGTGGAGATATGAGTGGTTGAATAAGATTTTTCACCCCTACATCCGTAGAACAGATTCCCCTTCAAAAGCAAAATTCAAAGGCGTGAGCTAAAGCAATAACCCTCCAAAAAAGACTCTTAAGTATGAGATAATAAGTAGTAATGGAAAATATATGATAAGTAACCTATGTATACGAAACCGAACGTTCGAAAATGGTGAGAAGAATAGACAGTGCTTCATCAAAGAAGTGATCTAAACCAGCACATTTCATGACCCGAATTAACTCGAACACGCCCGTATTATATGTTTAAGCTCACATTGCACTGTCTACAAGTTCATCTTTTTCGGGCACCCCACGCGACAGCATAATTCCACGGTTCATTTTGGCAGGATCCAGGGCCCAATTTGAGATTCCAACAAAAGCTACACGCTGTGGTTTCTCGTCAGTCTCAATAACGTCATCAGCAGAGGTGACACCTTCCTCGAGCAATGGATGTAAGGTTTTTAGGGGCATGAGAGGAGAATCCTCAGCAAGGCCAACCTCATCAAGGACTACAACTGAAACAAACTTGTCTAGATTTTTTCCTTCCTGTAACTTGCTACACTGCTTGAAAGTCGCCATGATACCCTCAGGGGTTGAAAGAGGACTGCACTGATATGATGCCATATGAACCTAATGAAATAAATAAATATAAATGGTCATTTCGGATCCGCCGTTGAAAACCGCATCAGTGAAAATGCTTCAGGAAATGTTCATTTTCATAACATGGAAAAGATTATTACACTTACAGTTATAATAATGGATAATTTCACCTTCTACTGCGAGTCAGTTTTATCTAAGCAAGAGTGCATCTCGTTTAATTTTCTACAGAGAGCGCATTTCGAATGAGTGTGGGAAACTCGAAGAAACGAAACTGACTGATTTAAAAGGTGGCATGATCAGTTAAAAAGATGGGTAAAACTTACACAATTCCTAGATATCTTAATTAAGTTGGGCCTAAAAGCGGAACTCTTTAAGTGTTTCCGTAACACGTCGGCATATTTAACCCCATTCAATTACACAGGACGTATACACACTTGATATTGATAATTATTGGGCCATATTAATTCCCAAAATAAAGACATACAACCTTCCCCACAAGGATTTCCCAGTGAAGCCCAAAGTTCACTTTAAACATTATTCCTTAGATGTAAACATATGAGAGATTCCAGTGTCTTTAAGCCAAACTCACTTAAGTTTAATTCCCCCTCCATGCTCCACAAAGGCCCCTTCAGGGCAGTGTCACCGCGGACTTCCACCCCAGAAGATATGGACCCCCTCTCCAAATCCACTCACGGGCATTTTAGCGCATTAGATCATATCCACCTGTATTTTGCACTCTATAAGTCATAAATTATTACTATTATAATTATTAAGGGGTATAGACCCCCCTTCGCAGATGTTAACCCACTGCCAAACTATCCTTTTATCGCTTGAATCACATAACCCTGAACCTAACCCTAAAACCCTAACCCTAAAACCCTAACCCCCCTAAACCCTAACCCCAACCCTAAACCCTCACCCAAAACCCTAACCCTAGACCTTACCACTTACTGCTTTCGCTCGGGAACGTAAAGGATGTTTTCACTCAGTTTTGTTGGGGATCCAAATCTGCGAGCAGATTTGGACCGCGGGGGTCCATATCCACTGGCAGATTTGGACCGGGGGGGTACAAATCCGCTGGGACACAGGCTTCTAAAGTTTATGGTACCGACGCACTTTCCCACTAACGTACGGTAGTATCAGGACCAAACTTCCTTGGCCTTTTGGTGTACCAAATTCTCTCAAGCGTGGTTCTAAGCTGCGGCCTTGGTCATTTCTTTCCAACTCCATTGAAAATTGCTCCACACAGCATAACCAAAGTAAAGTCTTTTTAACATGGCCAAAAGAACCCCCTTTTACTTGAACTCCTTTTCTGTACTTTTATGGTAGCAAATATTTTATAGTCTTATTACCTGCTTGAAGGTCTTGAATAGTGGCGATCTTGCAGCATCGCCTTGCATGTTATCAGCGACAACCGTCTTGGCCAACGATTTTGAGCTGCCCGGTTTCCCAACCACAAATAGTGGGATCCTGAGCTCAATGCACACCACCATCATAAACACATTCTCGCTCAAGGCTGTGTTGCGAGCTATGTTGGGGCCAAGTTCCAAATCGTTTAGCACAGCTTTTTGACAACTAACAGAGTAAAAATGGACAGTGTTAGATAAGTAGTGTTAACTTCCTATTAGTTCCAACCTAATACAGAAAAAGCAGGGTCGGAAATGAAAACAGTGGAAAATCAAGCCTTAACTTTTATTGTTCAAACCTACATCGACCGCTGATTGACCTAACATATATTGACACTATCGCACTGTATTATTTTAAGGAAGGAAAAAGTCTAATTATAAGTTACTTTACCAAGAAATAGTACCCAAGAATAACGTCAGTGATTATTTGTTTGTTTGTTTGTTTGTTGTTGTTTTTTATTATTATTATTAAGCGTTCGAACCTTGAAATTTCACGTAGGATTCGCTCCTGACCACCTGGAAGAATACATGGCGCCTTGAAGCTCTTTGCCACTGCTATTCGATATCCTTCCCGCCGCTTCTGTAGCTTAGCGTGATAGCAGACACCAATGGCGAGTACCAGGGCACGCGTTAGAGGATTTAAAGCCTCCTGTGGAATCAACAATACATGGCACTTAACAGAATTGTAGTTTCCCTAAACAATAAATCTCTCAAACATAACTGACCTTCCTGTCCACAAAACAGCAGAGAAGTGTTTTTGGACTTGGAGTAGAGACGTAAAAGAGCTAAAAAATTTCTTTTTTTGTCCCAGGCCGATACTGGTGAGTAGCAACCCGAGAAGGCTCGAATCAAGCAGAAGGATAAACAGCCGTCCGTGACTGCTTATTGTACGTGGGGTGTGCGTGAAAGAAACTAATTGGTAAATGAATGAGTATGTGAATAAATAAGAGGCGTACTTACATCATCGTCATCCAAGCCCTCCTTCATTCGTCGCTTAGCTAACACCATGTCCATCAGTTTACCGAGCGTATCCATGTGTTCATAAAACCAGACCATCACTTGCATGGCTCTCTCAACATCACGAAGACTAACAAAGCTACACTCATCCTTAAATGGAAAGGAGAAAGTAATTACCTCTTTCAGTTAACAGCGCCAGACACGAATTTAAAACTTATTTCTTGAAATAGAGGAAAGATTCGGCAAGAAACTTTTCACCAACCGATTGAGCTCTCATATACTTCTGCGAAGCTGCCAGAACTTCTGCAACTGCCTGTACTGTAAATGAGTCTCCTGGTAATTGCTTTTCACGAATAATCTATCCAAAGGACGGAAGAGAAAAAATTGCACAATTAAACAATAGATATCAGAAAAGAAAACAATAAATGATACCTTTTTGTATTCTTAAAAGTTTCCTGCTAGATAAACATCATTCTAACCGAGGCCAACTTTCGCACCACATAAACCTGTAGACCACCGCATAGAGAAGACTAATTCGTATGCTGGTCTATGCATGTCCCTCGCTTTAAAGAGGAAGAAACAAAATTAAAAATTTGAGCTCTCAATGCCATTGTTTTCCTCCTATTTGAAGGTCGGCAAGAGATCGAGAGCCATACTTACGTAACGGTTGACGATTTGATTGGTGTACAGTCTCTCAACATCGGGTTTCAATTGGCCAAAATCCCATATCAAAGGGCGCATGCTTCCTGGGAGGGCGTGTACACGGTACACAAGATGACGCAATGGAATATGACCTGCGGGAGAACCATGCTTAAAAGACAATTCTAAGCGATGCATAATTTTGTTCATGTTCAGTTAGAATCTCCCTTTCAAATAAGATTTGCCACGAGAAGACTTAAGCATCCGTTCTTGGCTGAATTGGGGGCACTCCTGCGAAAGGTAAATTTCTGACATGCGTTAACAAAGTAAGGGAACAAAACACGGTATTTTACGCCTGTCCTTCTCAAGAAAGAACGAAGAGGTTTCCAAATGCCTTCCCAGTAACTCGGTCAGTACGGGAAGGCCTCAGTCTGAGATTTCCTTTAACTTATAAAGAAGAAATTTCAAAGACAGGCTCATACCACCAACACCACAGTAGGCCATTTTCAGGGCTTCAAAATGGTGACTAAACAAACGCGCTCTTACATATATTTACTGCATTGAAATCCTAAGACACAGATCGATTTTCGTCATAACAGATAGAAAATGCATGGTGGAGAAATTTAAGACTGATGTTTTTCTGAAAGAGGAGATGTAAAATAATTATCCATACCAAGCCGATCTTCTGATTCATGTGCATTCACGTGATATCCAAGCCCCTCTGACTCAAGTTTGCGAATCATGTCATCCGTGTGTCTTAAAATATGTAAACAAAAACACTTCGTCATTACAATTCATTTCTAAGGCCAAGTGTACCAATTCAGCTAAGCTCTGCAAACAGAAATTGACACAGGAGCAACAAAGATGGTCAAGAATGTGAGAATTCCCACCAAAACTTTATTCTTTAAGGCACAATGATCAGCTTTCAAAACGAAATTCAACGAGGTTCACCGACTTGGGTGCTAAATTCTAGGAAAGCACGAAAGATAGATATAGTCCAAGCCTTTAAGTGGAGAAAATCTACCATTCCAATCAAAGTTTAAGTCTAATTTAACTGTGTAAGTCTAAGAGCAGATACGACATTTTTTACCTTTTGTAAGGATTACAGGCAGCAATAAACTGCAGCCTTTGTAAGCCTTGCCCAATGGGCCGTCCATTGATTCTTCGGTCCACCATAACCTCTTTAATCATAGTTAGTGCTTCAGTAGTGTTGGCTTCATCAAAGAAAAGAACCGTGTCAATATTCTTGTCTTGATTCGCGCGAGCCATATCTTCCGCTTGGCGAACTTTAAGCTCAATGTCTTCGTACGTTGTACCACCATGAACCTTTTGGTGTAAGGTAATATTTGATTGATATAGGGTAAGCTTCTGTGAATATTGTTTAATTTGGAAAGAGTGACATATCAGAGGTTATTCAATCAAATCCAGCGAATAACAACGACGTAATCCCTATCATCCCCTATATCACCAACACCCGCACAATCTCTGTCACCACATTACCACTGCCATTACTATCATCTTTTCCAGTTATTCAATCTCTGCCACTATCAGTCGCAGGAATAACATCCTTGTTTTGTCTCGAACTCCAGCAACGCCACTTGCACCACCATCACTAAAACTGACAACCGTATTATGTCCCTGACCATAACACTAATTGGTTACCACCTCCTCGACCGTCATCCACACCTCACCCTCACTAAACCCAGCAACACCATCACCAACGCCATCAATATTACCACCGTTGGCAGCACTAACACCACCATTGTTTAAAAAAAAGCGTCCTCGCCTTTATAACTACTATAGCAAATACCTCCACCAACATTGGCATTAACATAATTATCATCAGCACCTTATAAATTTGATCATCGTAATCATCATCACAAAAAAGATGATGCCAGTACATCAACTGATAACAGATAACTGATTTTACTACATGAAGTCACCTTAATTAGAAGCATGTTTCGGGGTCCTTTAGGACCGGCTTGCAACGCGCACAAGTATCGTATGAGGCGTGTCTTACCACAGCCTGTCTCACCCATCACGATCACGGGAATGTTGCATCTGTTCGGAGTTAAAGTAATAACTTTTTTATTTTCTATTATTTCACCATAAAGACAAATGCTTATCTGACCCTAATGAAAATTAGACAATAACGAACAGTGAACTTGAAAAGATGACTTGCAGGGACATTGTCTGACATCAATACTTACCTGAATCTCATGTGAATGGCCAGAATCTTCTTAACATTGTCTGTAGTAAGTTCATAGGTATTGTCTGGATCGTGCAACCAGTTAACACCCATCACAGAACATAACTGATTTATCTTGTCCCGTCTAAAATTGAAAAATGTAAAAATAGGCTTTACGATTGAACAAATAATCTTGCAAACCATTCCTTTCGTTGTTGATCCCTCGACATCTTTTAGTGGCCTTTATCTTTGAAAACGAAATAATAAACCGACCAGAGTGCAAAAAGTAATAATTAATAATCAGTTAAACCTGCTACCTACACAAGGTCACCATACAAATCTGATGCACTAATGTGCGGGTCTCAAAGGGGTTAACCGTCAACCGTCATATGGCCAAAATATTAACCGTCAACCATCAAAAACGAAATATTTTTACCATCAACCGTCCAAAAGGAAAGCCGTCAAATGTCCCAGATACCCGTAATTAAGAACTAAACGATTGCCTTAATTGGGGTCAAGTTCTGTTGTTAATAAATAAAAGTTTTGGTATATCACAAAAATACATTTACGTAAGTCTTAAAACTTGTAGTCGCGAGTAAAACTGGTTGGCGACAGAATTGACTTCCTGTGTAGAAACACTTCCGGTGTCGCAAAACGTTAGTCATTTACTAATAAAAGGTGTTATAAATTAACAGTTCCTCACAAACGCGTCATTATAAAAAGTTACAGCCAAATTCGCTTGTTTCGTTCGTTTTATTAACCACATTCCAAAAAATTAACCGTCAACCATCAAGTGTCCTAAAATTTACCCGTCAACCGTCAAAACGGCTTATTTTTAATCGTCAACCGTCAATGTGAGCCCCCCGTTGAGACCCTCTAATATAGCATATTGGTCGGGTTGTTGTATCTATTCAAAAAGACTCGGCGTTAACAGACGTTGACAACGTTGAAAGGGTGTAGGTAGCAATAACGAAGTAGCTTCTCCTCATATAGGATATGCTAGATTCCCTTCATCCACAAAATTGTCAATCTTACAATGACGTTAGCAATGAGTTATTCCAAAGGTAAAGAGTACGAAATACTGAGTCGTACAAGGAACGATATCTTCAACTTAAGCCACTTGCTTAGAAAGTTAAGACACTGACAGTGAACCCTAGCGGCTTTCAAATGATGCGAAATGTTTACTCTTGAATGACGAAAAGTAATTACGGTAGCTCAACTTGAATAACAGCGTGTTGGAACTTACTTCCTCGACGTCTCTATGTTTGTTGTAAAATCGATACGCTGAGCTTGCAGTCCATTACGTAAACGTTTGGACATCAAACCTCTCTCCAAAGTCTGGCCCGTTTGAGGGTCAACAAGGTCACCCGCAGAATTTATGAAGAAACCAAGAAAGGTCAGAGTGATGTGGTCTTGGTTGAAGAAAAGGTATGGATGAGGACTGAATAATGAAAAGACAACAGGAAACACAGTTATGAGACTCACTTAGTTTAGGGCGCCTTTGAAGACAACAGTAACTGACGCTTCAATCTACAATCAGTTTTCAAAAACCCAGTTACCGTTATAAGTCCTTTTCAGAATCCCTTCAAAACGAACGATCACTATATACGATAAACTGTTACCTGCGGTTTCAGCCATTCATAGCCTTGGAAATTATGCAACGACAAAAATAATACTGAGAAACATCCATTTCGTTCTTTAGAAGAATGCATTTATCAATTTTGGACCCCCCTCGCCTCTATACCGATAGTGAGCCGACCGTGTAATGAAAGTATCCTCGTTCGGAGAAGAACACCCATTCATGTTCGTTTGCAAAGGGACCGAGAAATATAAAAATAATTTTAACTAGTGGTCTGACTAAAACCCTCTTTCCACTTATGACGCGCTCTGGGCTGTCGCTTTCACGGTGTTCCTCGACCGAAGAAACAAACATGTTCATATTGGATGACAAAAAGTACAAGTCATATTTGCGGAAAGATCAAACACCAAAATGGCCCTTCGAGACTGCTATCATAAATCTCCGGGTCATTTCACTCATCTGTTATTTTTGTGTGCCGTTGAGGTGCTTCAGCACTGTATGCTCGATAACATGTTTCAATTTGGACTAACTTTCCCCATAAACAGGTCAACTTTTCGCCATTCTCTCTAGCAGCTTCGGGCTCATTTTCCCCTAAGGAAGAGAGCATGTTTGGTGGAAAAACGCACACGACGGCCTATTTCATGATTCTTGCTTTATTCACAAAGCTTTTCAATAAGCAAGTACATGAGGCATTCGCGATTGTCCACTTTTTTTTTTTGCTTTGTCACTAAGCGAAAAACAGTGTCTTAAAAAAATATTATCACCTGCTTTCCCAGCTTCTTCTGAGCTGAAACTGTTCGATCTCTTTTTGTTCCAGTTCCACGTTATCCTCCGTGTAAAATACAGGGTTCTCGTCCGTCAATGAGGGGGTAGCAAAATCCTGAAACAGAAGTAGAATTAATACTAATGAACAATTACTTCTTATCAATGGAAAATACTAAAAAGCTATAGAGGAATTTAAGGCATTACTGACCAGCATTAATAGAGTGGGAAATATGTTACATGTAACTATGACACGAGTGTAAAAGTGAGAAGTTGATTATCTTAGCTATTTAGATTGACACGTTTTTGGTCCTGTTTTATTCAAATTTCTGACGCTCGTATTTCTGACGACCAGCATAATATTCTTAGGCAGGTTTTTTTTTTTTTCACGACCCTAATGAACCCCGCTCTTTCCTCTCTCATCGAACAAAACCTCTTGGGGTGCCTCCAAATGGTTTCGTTACTTCTAAACACAAATTCTTTGATGGATGGTAGCTTCCACTCTCTGTTCCGCGAAAAAAGGTGTATATTTTCGCTCTTTTGTGAAAATGTGCATTCAAATCCATCTTATTCTTAAAGATAAAAAGGCCATCTTAATCTTACTTATGTAAACTGTACGTCAAAACTGTTTTAAATTTGCAAACGGATGAATATTGATAAGCGCACTTCGCGGAGTCAACCGCTGTTAACGGGTTAGTGATAATCAAGAAGGTTCGAAAATTTTGTTGTAGTTAAGATTAATAATGGTAATAGTACCGTGTGGATCCAACTGGGTCTGTAATCACACGAGTGATTGACAAATCAGACGACCACGAAGCCCGATTTGAGAACTAATTAACAATTATTCCACAAGCGCGCGTTGGATATGAGATGATAGATAGCCAACGAGGCGCGTAGCGCCAAGTTGGCTATAATCATCTCATATCCAACAAGCGCGA